AAATTATATATATAATAAATTAATATGTTAAATAATTAAAAATAGTAATTAATAATTAATTATAGATAATTACTATGATAGTAATGTACTCATATTTATTAGATTATAAGTAATTAATTAGTGTATTAAGAAAAATGATTAGTATATACATAATTTATTAATGTTCCTTTTAATACTTAAATTATTAACTTTTAGTTATATAATTAAATGATTAGTTAATTAATTACTAATGTTTATTTAATAATCTATTAATTGATATATCACATGATCAATTTTTAGTAATTATTATTTTTATAATTATTAATGAATAATAATTATTATTGATTAATATATTACATATTGATAATTATAATTAAATATTACTTATTAATTGAGTAATTACTATTTATTTTTATTTACCAACTATTTACTAATTAATAGATTATAATTAACATAGCATATGATTGATATATTAATTATTTATTATTTATTTAATAACCTATTATTACTTACTTTATTGTTAATATGTTATATAATTATTTTTTGGCAATTAATCTTTAACTAAATAAATAATTACTATATTATTTATTAGTTTATTAACAAAATTAAAAACTTAATAATAATTATATATTAATTAATATATAACATAATTAGTAATTAATAATTAATTATTTAATATAATTTTATTGATAATCATTAATTGTACTATGTTGAATCCCGCATAATTTAAAAGCCAAAGTTGCCTTTACTTTGCTTCTGATTTTGACTGTAGATTCTTCAAAAATTCTTTAAAAATCACTTTTTATAATTTTTACAAAACACTATTATCAACAAGTGATTTTGTGCTCTAAGAAGCATTACTAAACGCACCAATTGTAATTGCTTTTGCGGTGTGTTTTGTGGGACACCAAAAAAGTTTCACAAGTTCTGATCAATTGGCATTTGCTAGCTGTTTGGTAATTACCATTAAAAGAAGAGAAGCTATACAAATAGAAGCCACTTAATTTGAAGCTTTTTCTAGGACAAGCTAGAACATGTATATACATATATTTTCTACATTTGTAGCCAGATCTTATCGGATTGCTTTTCTGAATAATTTGTGGGCATCAGAAGTTCTACTACTTGTTCTCAATTGCATTTTCTATTTGGTCCTCATTAAGAGAGAGAGTGAGAGAAAAAAAAAAAAAAAAGCGGCACATATTTGCTATTTGTTATTATAACTAAAAAAACTTTTTTTTTTTTTTTTTTTTTTTTTTTTGTATTTGCCCCGATTTGGCTGTTTAATGAAAGTATTGAATCTAAAAAATAAAAAATAAAACACTATTTTTTTTACTTAATATAAACATTTTAGAAAATAAATTGTGTACCTAAAATTTATAATTTCTCATCACAGTATGTACCAAATTTTATTTACTATAATTAGAAAACCCTAATTTTTCTAAGTAACCCAAATTGAAAACCCGAACCCTAAATCTCAAATTAGTTATAATTGGAAAACCATAATACTTAGATCCCAAATCATTACCATTCGGGAAACCATATGACATATCTTTTTTAAGCGGTCGCTGCTACCCACTGAAGATACAAAATGAAAAACCTCTTTGTCACGAAGAAATCTCCACGACGAACACGTCGTCGTGGAGTCACTGAGTTTCAATGAGGGTGATCTGCTTGCAAGGGAAAAACAACGATATGCTTGTCGGGAGAGAAATGACGTGCGACAAAATCTACTTGTGATTTTGGGAGAAACCACGGAATTTTTCTAATTGGGACGACCCTCATCATTACTGATTTGCAGGAGTGCAGAACTCGATTCTGGTTCGCTGCCTTCATCAAAACTGGTCGCTAGGCTTCAATGTGGCGTGAAGAGCTTCTTGTTGTTGCAACAACAATGAGCTTCTTGTTGTCGCAACAACAATGAGCAACCTTGGTCCCGATGCACGGAGAGCAAATAATCTTACTTTAATTTATTTTTAAAAAGCGTATTTTTTAACAGGTTTTTAATATTTCTATCATTTTATTTCAAAAGTGGCCATTTCCTACAATTTCTACAAGAAAAATTAAAATTTCATTCGTGCATTTGGTTTATTCTGTCGTCTAGACAGATGGATTCTTCATCATATGGGTAATCAATTTTCACTTTATACGGTTATATTGATAGAAAGAAGTGGGTTTATACGGCTATAATGATAGAAGGAAGTGGGTTTATCCTTCTTCTATATTGATAGAAGGAAGTGGATTTATCCTCCTCTTCTTTCTTTTTTTTCTTTTTTTTTTTTTTTAAGATTCTCTCTAGTAGATTTGGGTCTAGGTCTACAACGAGGACCGTCTCTTTGAGGACTGTGTGCAGATTTCTTCGACAACAGTGACTTAACAATGTCTAAACTCCCATTTAATTTGCTAATTTAAATTTTACAAAAAAATTCAAACTGTATGATTTAAATTATAATTTAAATTGACATTTAAATGTGTAATTAAAATTTTAATTTAAACATAAAATAAAATTTAAATTTGTGTTTAGTAAGTACAAAAAGCAGAAAAAATGGACACTTTTTACTGTTAAAAAAAATTGAACAGTTAAACTTAATGGGGAAACTAAACTCTATATTGAGCAATTTAACTCAATTAAAACAAAAAATATAATTCTAACTACATGTTTACCAAACGGCAATTCAAACTACGCTCACTGTTTAAACAGAGTTGAACTAAACTAAACTAGTGATACAAATAGAAGCTAAAATGTTCCCCTGGCTGGGAAGGGAAGTCCAATCAACCCACTATATTCCCCGGAGGCAGCGATTGGGAAAAATAAGACGATCATGGAAAATTTAATAAAATGCAAATTGGAATTGTCATTCCTCTCTTCTCAATAAGGAGTGACAATTCCATCAAAATGATAGAAAGTCATTCAAATGAAATGGTTGTTCTTTGCATCAAAGTCAGGCAAATAAAATAATTGTGCTCCTTTCCATTCTCACCAACCAAAAATGCCCTTAAAGAATTCGGTCACAACACAAAGTATCAACCTAGCAAAACTTCACCCTACAAGACTCCACCATAAAAAAGAGAGAACACTTTTTAAAAGACGCGCTGTGGCTTCCCCATGGTAGTCTTCAGGTACAAGCACCTCACCTGTTCCATAGGAATAAAAATCATATACCAAACGAATCTTTCATAAAACAAAACCATATGGTAGCTCGCACTCAAGTGTGAACAAAATCTTTAAACCATGATTTTCCGTCTGAGATTAATAAATCTCTCATTGTAATTTTACATAGAAGTGGTGTTGATACTAAAATTTAGAACCTTGTTCCATTCCTTAAGCAAATTAGCGTGCACCATAATTACCTAGGTAAGTCACTAGAATGCTTTGCAATGAGGGAAAATGAAGGAAATATCATTCAAACATCCTAAACTATCCATACGAATTATAATCGATTGATAATTCACATAAATTCTATACGCACAAATCAAAGCATCAAGCCCAAGAAGAATACTGCAAATAAACACTTGTTGAAGAGACAAAAGCTAGAAACTAATTATAAATTATAATAACTACATATCCCAGAAACCTATACCACATCAAAGACACATAATGAACCCATAAACGAAATTTAGAAGGAAAAAAAAAGACCTAAAGATGCTTGTTATTTAAAAATAATAAGGCTCAGAGAGTAAAATCAACTTACGTTTTGCCAGTTCTTCTTCAAGAGTGAAACAAGAAAATTGACACTCAACTGCACGTTTTGGAAGATCTGTTTCTCCTCCATGGAGACATTTCCCACAGCAACTCCCATGCAAAGAACCTTCTTAAGCTGGAACTTGACCATTGCCTTTGTCTCATTCACTTTAGACTCCAAAGACTCTTGGTGAGTGACAAGGGTTGGAAACTTGCCTAATTGGATAATGGAAGATTAAAAACATAAAAAAATAAAAAATAAAAATAAAACCACAAGCAACAAAGCTTTGGAACTGAATTTTAACCAAAAAATAAATAAATAACAGTGCAAATTCAGAAGCGAACATGAACCAAAAGAGTGTCAAGTAAGTGCTTCATATTTAAACAAAGAAAATGCTAATTCTAAATTTTCCAAGCGGATTGCTCAATATGCCAAGAGTGAAGTGGCATAGAAGTATTAGAAACACTCATCTAAACAAAAAGCAAAAAGAAAGAGAATAACACAAATAAAACAAACCATGACATATGTAACACGATACAGAAATTACTTTAAACAGATTCTTCAAGATTAATATTACAAAACAGAATAATATACCGACCCGCCTTGTTAAGACCAGGGCCCAAAAGACGAGGGATCTGCTTGATAACAGCTTCTGATGCTAAGAAGGCATGATACTTCTTTGCTAGTTTCTTCACCAATTTTTTGTTCTTGTTGAGCTTCTTCAACCCTTCGACATCCATGTAGTCCAAACCTATTTTCTCTGCCTGAAGAATTAAATAAACCAATAAAGTTACAACAGAAATAGCTAGTAAAATGCACATATCAAAAACAGAAAATAATAAATCAAACGAAATTTGGACATCAATTCACGATGTGAGATTAGTACGACCAAGAACATAATAAAATTAGCAGAGGAATACTAAAATTACCTCCTCGACGTGCTGAGCATCTCCAAGCATGCAAACTTTCATCTTAGGCCTAGGGATGTGTGGCAATTTCACAGAACCACTGAAACGCTTGTCCTTCTGGGGATCGTAGTTCTTCAGTCCAATCTGGAGTTCGATTGTCTCAGTAAAGTTCCGGTTTTTTTCCTTCGATTCGTTCATTATGACAGAGATAGCCTCTCTGAGGACATCACTCTGGAGCTTACTGTAGCAATGACAATAACATCGAATAATCAAACACATGACTATAACAAATTAAAAGATACAGCATAATAGTCAAATCAAAGGCCAAAATTTATAATTAAAAAAAAAAATACTTTCTTGCATCACGATCTGCATGAGACTAAAAAGGTTAATTATAATATTTCAAGAAGATTTGAGATATTATGTGATTATCCATAATGTTAATTACACAATCATAAAGATTCTGAATCGTATTTTCAATAATCTTTCTTTGAACTCCATAAACCACTATCCTGAATTTTGAGCCGAGGAAAAATAAAGCAAAAACAGCGACAAATTATTGCCAAACATTGTGCAAAATACGACTAAGGAAAAAAAACACAAAACAAAAACAAAACTAAAAATTCACATACCTCATGTTTGAACCTTAACCCCTTTCCACAGAAGCGCCTCCTGCGAAGTAAGAACAAAAAATAAAACAAGATAAAATCAATACACAAATAAAAAGATGACGCGTACCATAATAAAATAAAAATAAAATAAAAAATAAAAACTTAATCATATGCCTAAAAGTTGAAAAATTATTGAAGTGCCATTTGGGCGTCGAAGTTCTAGAGAACCAAAGAAATGTTGGATCTAAGACCTAGTTCCGCGTGAAGGAGACACAACACGCAAAATCCAGAGTTTGTTTCCATCTATAACATTTCCTACGTTTTCTCGGGAAACAAACATAGAGCCACAGATCTATAAACTCATAGTAACAGATTAATAAGCGAGTTAACGAACTGTGAAATTGGCGAATATAAACTTGGAATGAAAAAGTAAACCGAGAAAGTGAGAGATTTGGTACCAGAAGCAAATATGAAGAACTAGTACTCCAGCGGCTGAAGCAGCAACTTCTATAAACCCTAACGTAAAATAAGAAGCTTTTTATCTGTTCCTCTTGAAAACGCTTTGGGCCTTTGTAATGCGAAATGCAGAATAGGCCTAGTTTCTTTGCCTTGCAACTACGCTTTTCTAGCCCAAAAGTTTTCGGCCTATGTATTTTGGGCCTTTAGGACTAAAATGAGCTATCAACTTGCAAACAAGTGAAACAGTTAAAATTAGAGGAAATTAAATAATATGCCATCTAAACCAACAGCTTTACATTTATGCCACCGAAACATAAATAGATTATATTATGCCATTGAATAATATAAATGTAAAGATGGCATCGTTTGAGTGGCATTTTTGTATTTCTCCAAAACAGTTAAATAGCATTTTTTGAAGATATTTATGGTAACTAGAATATTTTAAAAATATTTATGGTAAATAATTCTTTACAAAACATATTTACGATAAATTTTCCTTATAAATCACAACACAACAAACTCTATTTCAAAATCAGAGACCATTTTCCTCAATGTCCTTTTCGTCGACGCCAGTTTTCTCCACTGCAGTGCTCATTCTAAGCTCCATCATATTCCTCAGCCTCTATAAAAACGTGCCGATCTTGGTTTCCCCCAAATTGATCCTCTCCTACAACACTTTGACCACCAATTGACTAAACGAGACTGTGATTTTCTCTCTCTGAGTTGAGAACTCGATGAGAAGAACTGGTTAGTTTTCTAGAATCTGACGAATTTGAGGCTATTGAACGGCTATCTCCAACGGAGAGATATCATGAAAGGGGGCGAAGATGATGCCAACATGGAGGTCGGGGACGACGAAAGTCAAGCTAGAGAGGCAGGCCCAGGCGCAAAGAGAGGCAGAATGGATGATAATTCTTGTCGTATATCATTTACATGGAGGAAGAAAGAGAGAGGCAAAAGAAAATAAGAGGGCTTTAGGATTTCTATATCCAATGGTTGTGATTATAAAAGAATAAGAGATAGATGGCTAAGATTAATTTAAATTTTTTATTAATATTCTATTTAATAGTTTGAACATATAGAATACCAATTATGCCCTTTAAAAAACCACATATGACTTATGAGTGTTAACTTCTGTTAATTTTTTAACAGCCATTTACAAAAATGGATTATTGCAACAGTTAAGTAAGTTTTGAGCGATAAGTGTTAAAATTAAAAATTTATGAGGCAATTTATTAGAACACGATAAGTTTAAGAGATAATTGTACTAAAAATCCTGAATTATATAAAAAAAGAAGTTGCCAATTATAACCAATGGTTATATATATATATATATATATATATATATATATGAAGATGAAGAAGAAGACAAAATAGACGGGCTAAATTCTTAAATAGTGGTAAAAAAGAAACACACCTCTATAATATAATATTAGTAATAATTAATTATTTAATATAATTTTATTGATAATAATTAATTGTACTATGTTGATTCCCGTACAATCTAAAAGTCAAAGTTGTCTTTTGGCTGCTTCTGATTTTAACTGTAGATTCTTCAAAAATTCTTTAAAAATCATTTTTTTATAATTTTTACAAAACACTATTATCAACTTTTAATGGCTAAAGAAGTGATTTTGTGCTCTAAGAAGCATTACTAAACGCACCAATTGTAATTGCTTTTTCGATGTGTTTTGTGGGACACCAAAAAAGTTTCACAAGTTCTGATCAATTGGCATTTGGCAGCTGTTTGGTAATTACCATTAAAAGAAGAGTGAAGCTATACAAATAGAAGCCACTTAATTTGAAGCTTTTTCTAGGACAAGCTAGAACATGTATATACATATATTTTCTACATTTGTAGCCAGATCTTATCGGATTGCTTTTCTGAATAATTTGTGGGCATCAGAAGTTCTACTACTTGTTCTCAATTGCATTTTCTATTTGGTCCTCATTAAGAGAGAGAGTGAGAGAAAAAAAAAAAAAAAACCGGCACATATTTGCTATTTGTTATTATAACTAAAAAAACTTTTTTTTGTTTTTTGTATTTGCCCCGATTTGGCTGTTTAATGAAAGTATTGAATCTAAAAAATAAAACACTATTTTTTTTACTTAATATAAACATTTTAAAAAATAAATTGTGTACCTAAAATTTATAATTTCTCATCACAGTATGTACCACATTTTATTTACTATAATTAGAAAACCCTAATTTTTCTAAGTAACCCAAATTGAAAACCCGAACCCTAAATCTCAAATTAGTTCCAATTGGAAAACCAAAATACTTAGATCCCAAATCATTACCATTTGGGAAACCATATGACATATCCTTTTTAAGCGGTCGCTGCTACCCATTGAAGATACAAAATGGAAAACCTCTTTGTCACGAAGAAATCTCCACGATGAACACGTCGTCGTGGAGTCACTGAGTTTCAATGAGGGTGATCTGCTTGCGGGGGAAAAACAACGATATGCTTGTCGGGAGAGAAATGACGTGTGACAAAATCTACTTGTGATTTTGGGAGAAACCAAGGGATTTTTCTAATTGGGACGATCCTCATCATTACTGATTTGCAGGACTGCAGAACTCGATTCTGGTTCGCTGGCCTTCATCAAAATTGGTCGCTAGGCTTCAATGTGGCGTGAAGAGCTTCTTGTTGTCCAACAACAATGAGCAACCTTTGGTCCCGATGCACGGAGAGCAAAGAATCTTACTTTAATTTATTTTAAAAAAGCATATTTTTTTTAACAGGTTTTTAATATTTCTATCATTTTATTTCATAAGTGGCCATTTCCTACAATTTCTACAAGAAAAATTATAATTTCATTCGTGCATTTGGTTTATTCTATCATCTAGACAGATGGATTCTTCATCACATGGGCAATTAATTTTCGCTTTATACAGTTATATTGATAGAAAGAAGTGGATTTATACGGTTATATTGATAGAAGGAAGTAGGTTTATACAGCTATATTGATAGAAGGAAGTGGGTTTATACGGCTATATTGATAGAAGTGGGTTTATCCTTCTTCTATATTGATAGAAGGAAGTGGGTTTATCCTCTTCCTCCTCTTTTTTTTTTTTTTTTTTTTTTTTTAATTTTTTCCCCCCCTTTTTTCTCTCTTTTGAATTCCTAATAGGTAAATAACATTACAAAGTACAAAGGGATTTTTTTTTTTTTTTTTTTTTTTTTTTTTAAATTCTCTCCGTAGATTTGGGTCTAGGTCTCTGACCTGCAACGAGGACCGTCTCTTTGAGGACCGTGTGCAGATTTCTTTGACAACAGTGACTTAACAATGTCTAAACTCCAGTTTAATTTGCAAATTTAAATTTTACAAAAAAATTCAAATTGTATGATTTAAATTATAATTTAAATTGACATTTAAATGTGTTATTAAAATTTTAATTTAAACATAAAATAAAATTCTAATTTGTATTTAGTTGGTACAAAAAGCAGAAAAATGGATACTTTTTACTGTTAAAAAAAATTGAACAGTGAAACTTAATGAAGAAACTAAACTCTAAATTGAGCAATTTAACTCAATTAAAACAAAAAATATAATTCTAACTGCATGTTTACCAAACAACAATTCAAACTATGCTCACTGTTTAAATTGAGTTGAATTGAACTAAACTAGTAAAACAAATAGAGACTAAGGAGACGTTTGGTTCATGGATTAGAATCATAAAATTAGAACTATTTTTAATTTATGTATATTTTTTGTGAGAGAAAACACTGTAACGAATTATGAACCATGATTCGAATCGGAGTACGAATCCTTCAACCAAACAACCCCAAAAATGTTCCCATGGCTGAGAAGGGAAGTCCAATCAACCCACTATATACCCGGAGGCAGCTATTGGGAAAAACAAGACGATCATGGAAAATTTAATAAAATGCAAATTGGAATTATCATTCCTCCTTAATTTAATAAAATGCAAATTGGAATTGTCATTCCTCTCTTCTCAATAAGGAGTCACAATTCCATCAAAATGATAGAAAGTCATTCAAATGAAATGGTTGTTCTTTGCATCAAAGTCACGCAAATAAAATAATTGTGTTCCTTTCCATTCTCACCAACCAAAAATGCCCTTAAAGAATTCGGACACAACACAGTATCAACATAGCAAAACTTCACCCTACAAGACTCCACCATAAAAAAGAGAGAACACTTTTTAAAAGACGCGCTGTGGCTTCCCCATGGTAGTCTTCAGGTACAAGCACCTCACCTGTTCCATAGAATAAAAATCATATACCAAACAAATCTTTCATAAAACAAAACCATATGGTAGCTCGCACTCAAGTGTGAACAAAATCTTTAAACCATGATTTTCCGTTTGAGATTAATAAATCTCTCATTGTAATTTTACATAGAAGTGGTGTTGATACTCAAAATTTAGAACCTTGTTCCATTCCTTAAGCAAATTAGCGTGCACCATAATTACCTAGGTAAGTCACTAGAATGCTTTGCAATGAGGGAAAATGAAGGAAATATCATTCAAACATCCTAAACTATCCATACGAATTCTAATCGATTGATAATTCACATAAATTCTATACGCACAAATCAAAGCATCAAGCCCAAGAAGAATACTGCAAAAAAACACTTGTTGAAGAGACGAAAGCTAGAAACTAATTATAAATTATAATAACTACATATCCCAGAAACCTATACCACATCAAAGACACATAATGAACCCATAAACGAAATTTAGAAGGAAAAAAAAAGACCTAAAGATGCTTGTTATTTAAAAATAATAAGGCTCAGAGAGTAAAATCAACTTACGTTTTGCCAGTTCTTCTTCAAGAGTGAAACAAGAAAATTAACACTCAACTGCACGTTTTGGAAGATCTGTTTCTCCTCCATGGAGACATTTCCCACAGCAACTCCCATGCAAAGAACCTTCTTAAGCTGGAACTTGACCATTGCCTTTGTCTCATTCACTTTAGACTCCAAAGACTCTTGGTGAGTGACAAGGGTTGGAAACTTGCCTAATTGGATAATGGAAGATTAAAAAAATAAAAAAATAAAAATAAAACCACAAGCAACAAAGCTTTGGAACTGAATTT